TAGGGTCATGAAAGAAATTCTGAGCTCATTTGAGAAACTGGTTGCATGTTATGATGGAGGATGTGTCGGGTTATTTTGGTGGATCAGTCTTCCCTAACAAATGTGGGATCTGGTAAAAACCGAGTCAGTGTGTGAAAGTACAATGCGGAGGTCAAAAGCTGAGCAGAACTCAAGCTTTCTCTCCCCTGTCTCTGAAATATTGTAAACACTTGCTGTTTCGTCATAAGCAAATTAGAAAGGAAGTGGAAGGAACTCTGCACAAGCCCAGAAGATTCATTTCTGATGACTAACTGTCGGCATCTTACAGAGTGAATAAATGAAACAGAATAAAGAAAGTTGGGTACATCATTTTGTTGTCACCCAGGATGGACAGGCCAACATTAGGTCAACAGTCAGAGAGCAACATTTTCACAACAAATGTGTTCAGACAAGACAGAAAAAGTAAATTTTTTTGCCCTTATGGTCTGTCTCCCACTGTTTGTCGTCATCCTGGAGATGATCCTTAGTCCCTAGAAAATTCAGAACAATGCTAGAAGGATGGTAGCACTGAATGGGTTTTGCTGATTGGAAGATTATGAAGTGATCTCCAGAGCAAGACAAGTGGCAAGGCATTAAAAGGTACAGAAGAATGTGGGAGCTAAGAGATTGAAAGGACACATGAGAGGGATTGAGACAACCAAACTGCTTTTTAAGTGTGCAAGTATGTACACACTGGAGTGCGTGAAAGATCTGTGACTCCAAACGTAAATGAGCTTGTTTGTATTGGCGAGAGAAGGGAGACGGGTTCCATACAACCTACAGTGACAGGTAAATAATGCCACCTGTGCACTAATCTCAACATCGGAGCCAAGCCATTCAGGATGGCTGCGACACAGCACTTTTGCTCACAAAGGGCAGTGGAAATCTGGAACTCCCTCCTGTTAACTAGAACCAAGCCAGATGCTGAAGTCTGAAACGAATGGTGATTTTTCTCCTTGAAAGTTGGTTTATGTATAGAATGCAGTCTTACAGATCTCTGACTCCTAACTACTAACCTATTGTCCTGGCTGACTCTATTCATATCTTTGAGTAACCCTTAAACCAAATCCAACCAAACTGGGACTAAGGATCATCTTCAGGAATACTACAAACAGCAGGGGACGAACCACAAAGGCAAAAAAAATTACTTT